ACTAGCCTTCCTGCCTTCTCTACTCTTCCCTCTAGGATGCCACCATGACAAAATTTCAACTTAAGCTGAGCCCTTATTGCTGTTCCCCAAACCTTTTTATTATCTTCAGTTACTACATAACTGGAATAGCACACCTTTACCAACTTTGTCACTCTCCTTGTCCTACCATGCTGCTCCTCTTATCTTCGATACCATCCTATCTCAATAAAAACTAAAAATTCACCCCATCTCCTTCTACTCACCTCCACACAGTTCTATCTTCAGCCATCCTTACTATATGCCTATAGACTTGAATCCCTCAAATAAGAGTAAAAATAACAGCAGCCACCATCTACCAGTAACTTACCTGTACCTCTTACTGTGTATCTCCTGCCTCATTTAACCTCACTGCAAACCCACGCAGTAGGCACAATAGACCCACTGATATATGAGTCAACCAGGGCTTGAAGCCAAAGTGCTATCATCAGCAAACAACAAAACATAGAACCCAGACCTGTCTTACTCCAGCCCCTGGCCTTTTACTCACACCTTGTTACGTTAATTCTTCAATCGCCCTCTTTCCTACTTACATCCACTTTATCCAATCTACAAAACACTCAAATAATTACCAACATTTTCTTAAAAGGGAGGGCATTCTACACTCTCTCCTCATCAAATTACCACCTCATCTTTTTTTCCTCTTCTCTTACCTGTTAAGATTCTGAAGAGAGCATGGTAGCACACGCCTGAAATCCCATACTGAGGCCAAAGAATTGTAAGTTTGAAGCCAGCTTGGGTAACAAAGCAAAACCCAGTCTCACAATAAAATTTTTTAAAAAGGACTGGGGCTGTAGCTCTGAGGTAGAGTGCTCTTGGGTTCAATCTCCAGTACCATGAAGTAAATAAGTTTCCGAAAAGAGAAGTTCCAACACATCACCATTTGGTGCACGCACCACTCTCTGGAAATAGCTCTTCCCAAAGACCTCAGCTCTTTCCCCACCCTAACACGGTCTCTTTGGGGGCCTTTGCAATGCTGACCTGGACTTCCCAAAGGCTGTACTCTCCTCTTTACTTTGCTTTTACTTTCCAGTTTGGGTGGCCTCTCAGGGTTCCACTCTCCTCTCTTCTCATTCTACCTGGTAACTGACTCCAAATCACTCTTTCTAGCCCCCTCCTTGCCCAAGTTAGAGAGCTACATTTCTAATTTCCTTTTATACTTACCACCCTGTAGTTCTCTTAAAGGACCCACAAACTCAACATGTATAAAACCAAACTCAATCCCACCTTCACCCAACTCCACCCCAAATTTTGTAGCTACTATCAGAACACACATATCTACTTGGGTGTCTCAGTGAGAAACATCAAAATCATCCTCAATAACTCCCTATTCCTCTATCACTGACCAGGTCATCCCGCTGTCATACACACACAGCCTCTACAGCCTCTCAATAGCACGTCTTACCTGTCCTCTGGCCACTACCCTCACTGCCTCTCTTTTAGGCCCAACAATAATCCCATTACCTTTGCCTCTAAGTGTTGACATTAGGTGGTATTTTTAAAATCTGATTTTCAAAAATGTCCACAGTGAGCCAAAGTTCTTACATTATCACCAAAGGTGTTCTCTTGATATACAAATTCATTCCCCAGATGAAAGTTACTGATTTTCGAATAAAGGTCAACTCCTCAACATGCCCTTCAGCTATTTACTGACTCCTACCTGTCTTGAAGTCCCGTCTTCCCCATCATCTTCCCCATCAAATGCCACTGACTCACCTGACTGCCAGCCACACCACAGCCACACTGCCTTGCTTGTTACTCCCCTCTACAGAGGTGCACTGCTCTGTCTGAAGCACTCCCCCTTTCTATTTACATTTCACAAGCCTCAGTCCTTCAGGGCTCTATTCAAAAGGCCTCTCCTTTCTGTGGGATAAAGAGGATAAAAGCCTGGGCTCCAGAGTTTAAATTCCAGCTCTGCTATTATTGGCCTTGTGATGGTATTAACAAATTCCTTAAGCTTCTGAAGCCTCAGTTTCCCCATCTGTAAAACAAGATGTGAGTAAACTCAGTTCTTCTTCTGAGTTTAAAAATAAGGTATATAGGGGGCTGGGGATGTGGCTCAAGCGGTAGCGCGCTCGCCTGGCATGCGTGTGGCCCGGGTTCGATCCTCAGCACCACATACCAACAAAGATGTTGTGTCCGCCGAGAACTAAAAAATAAATGTTGGAAATTCTCTCTCTCTCTCTCTCCTCTCTCCTCTCACTCTCTCTTTAAAAAAAAAAAAAAATAAGGTATATAAAACGATTGTCAAAATACACACAGTAAACACATAAATAGTAGATACTATTTATTATTCCAGCCCTCCAAATCCTCTAGACAAAAGTGGAGAATCCCTACTCTCAATTCCCCAAGCCCACTGCATACCCTCCTATATACCATTTTGCAAGTTATATTAGAACTATAAGGTTGTATCGTTTGTTTCCTTTACCAGATGATGAGCTCCTCTGAGGGAGGGAAGGGACTGCAGTTCCTCTGTGACTCTCAAACCAAACCCTCAGGAGAAGACCTCATACCCCAGGGTCATATGCTTAAACATTAACTGAAAAAAACTGAACAAATCAATCTAGCATGGTGAGGCAGATAATAAAACATCGTATCTCAACTAACAAGTATGATTTAACTAAAATCTTTCCCTAGGCTGTTGCCTAAAATGTAAATAATCCTTGGAAGAAGTAAAGCTATTAGTAATTCTTATCTTAGTAAAGCAATAAAAAAAAATAAGGAATCTAAGCTCAAAGCAAAAGGATACGCCATTCCTCTGATACGTTTAATTTTTCCTGGATCTGTGAGCTGGATAGGCTTCAGGGCCTTCTTTACAGGACATGAGAAAATCACTTCACCTCCTCCCCCAGGGGGCATTCCTCGACGCACAATCTGCACAAAATGATGAAGAGTGATGAAGCAAGGATGCAGCAAAGCAGTGAATTACTCTGACACCTAATCCAGAGAGGTTTCATTTTTCCAGTAAGCCCTTCCTCAAGGCAGATGGTCCTTTCATATTCAGTGTCAATCCCTTCAAAACCAACAACACCTTGTGTTACCTGCAAGAGGGTATGTACTGTTGGCAGCATGTCCAAGTCAAAGTCAAAGTGGGCTTTGCTTCATCTATCTACAGCCCTAGGTAAGTCATTTCATCAATGTGACCTATTTTTTTCTTCCCAGTTCATCAGCTGATCCCATTTCTTAGCTATCAAGAATCCCTTTCTCGGGTTGGAGATGTGGCTCAAGAGGTAGCGCGCTCGCCTGGTATGTGTGCCGCCCGGGTTCGATCCTCAGCACCACACACAAACAAAGATGTTGTGTCGGCCAAATACTAAAAAATTAATATTAAAAAAAAAAAAAGAATCCCTTTCTCTCCTATGCAAATACCTGATCTATCAAGCCCAAAAGAAATCATTGTCCCTGTTTAAAAAGATCAATTTTAAAAAATAAATGTGCTAAACAGCTTAAGATATCCAGTATTACCACATTAGATTGATATAACTCTTAAAGTTTGGATATACAGTATCTCCAAAAAGATACTGCAAGAATATTAACAAGTAAAATGATTAGATTATGAGCACTGTAGGCTAATCAGTCCCTTCTCGTTTAAAGGGCCTGAGTGGGTGGTAACTATAGGCAGGTGGGGAGTGGCTGAAGTGATGGATCACTGGGGCCATGTCCTGGAAATGTTCATCTTCCCTGTGGTCCCTTCCCCACTTTCCTCTGTCTGCTCCCTGGCTTCCATGAATGGGGCAGCTTCCCTGCATTGTGCCCTTCCAACATGATGTTCTGCCTCACTGTGCCCAGAGTAATGGACTTGGCCAACCATTGGCTAAACCTCTGAATCGTGAGCTAAAATAAACTTTTCCTCCTCTAAGTTGTTCTTGTAGAGTATTTTGGTTAGCTGACTAACACAAATTCCTTTAAATAGGAAACAGACTCTTAAACCACTTATACTATGTTTTAGAAATACTGAAAAATCTGAGGGACACTCACATTGGGGGTTCCTGAACACAAACTATATCGAGATCAGACTGGCAATAGGAACAGAATCCTTACTGCTCTCCTAACTGCTATGGAGAGGGCTGTGTGAGGAATACAGGAGTTAATACATGTAGAATGTTTACTACAGCACCTACCATAATGTACAACATGACTGTTGGACACTACTATCATTACTAGCAAGTCCCTTTCAGTTCAAAGTTTATAGTGTTTGGTTCATGAGCCCTTGGGACATCTTAAAGATGATAACTTCAATTGTGACACACATACACACTGAGTCACAGAACTCTTCCAAGGAATTGATAACATACATACAGCCAACAGTTCAATATATTCTTACCTTTAGTTCAAACGATTCACCATCAATCCCAAACTGTTTCAACAGAGGGAGAGCTGTTGCCTTAAGAACATCAACCTATAAAGTATTTGAAAGGAAAAAAAGTTTAATTAAACTTTGGGCAGATAGAAAGAGTTCAAAAAACAGGCAAGGGTTAGCAACAAGGTAGGTGGTAAAGTTTGGTGAAGAGAAAATGCTGGCCTACAACTGCTCTATCCAAGTTAAGTCTCTAATTTTGCAAATCACTGGGCTTCTCTGAGCTTTGCTTTCCTCACTGATGAAATGGAGACCTACACCTACCTTGTAGTCTCCTTTAGCATTACATGCAATAGGCATGAAGAAACTGCAGGGCTCATAGAACAAACAAACTGGGATCTCTGCTCGTTTTTATAGGTATACACACTGTGAAAGAAACTATCATTCTCTTTCAGTAATCTTTTTAATGTTTAGAGCTGGTGGCACTCAGAGTAAAAGCAAACCAAATGAACTATTCAATATTAACCTAAGAGTCCAGATGAAGGTGCTGATTCTACATGGGAGGGGAGAGTAGTGAGGGAATTATAGTCTCAAAACCCATGAGGCGAGGACGATGGCCCGCTAGGCTAGTCGCAGACAACGCGGCGGTCCGCGAGCTAGGCGATCCGCGGCGGCAGGGCGGCCTGGGTTTTGGCCTCCCCCCGGTTCCCTGGAAGCGGGCCGGTGGCCAGTGCGGGAACGGCAGCAGCAGCAGAGGCGGAGGCTTCAGTGCGTCTCTCTACCCTTTAGCCTGAGCCAAGGGAGGCCAGGCAGCCCGGGTGACTGGAGGGGGTCCGCTGCCCGAGAATGGGAATTCTCTTCACCAGGATATGGAGACTGTTCAATCACCAGGAGCACAAAGTTATCATTGTTGGATTGGATAATGCAGGAAAAACTACCATCCTTTACCAATTTTCAATGAATGAAGTTGTACATACATCCCCTACAATAGGAAGTAATGTAGAAGAGATAGTGATTAATAATACACGTTTCCTAATGTGGGATATTGGTGGCCAAGAGTCTCTTCGTTCTTCCTGGAATACTTATTATACTAACACGGAGTTTGTAATAGTAGTTGTGGACAGTACAGACAGAGAGAGGATTTCTCTAACTAGAGAAGAACTCTACAAAATGTTAGCACATGAGGACCTAAGAAAAGCTGGATTACTGATTTTTGCTAATAAACAAGACGTTAAAGAATGCATGAGTGTAGCAGAAATCTCCCAGTTTTTGAAGCTAACTTCTATTAAAGATCATCAGTGGCATATCCAGGCATGCTGTGCTCTTACTGGAGAGGGATTATGCCAAGGACTTGAATGGATGATGTCACGACTTAAGATTAGATGATCTCTACTGACCTCTTCTCATAGACTTTGTATAAACAAAGTGCTGGACTTCACCTGAAAGCTGCAAAAATTAATGGTTTAGATATATTTATAATAAACTGATTTCAATTTTTTTCTATAAGAAGAAAAATTAAGACCACTTATTTGAAAACAAGATGAAGTCTCATCTTCCAATTTGCTTTCTCATTAGTTCCTTCCAAAGTACTTTATTAAAGCTGTGATTGACATTTTTCTCAATGAATCCTCTCAGGACAATGTATAGCCTGTGGTAAGTACAAAGGGAGAGGAAGATGTTTTGAACTTTAAGAGCTTTATTATCAGTATACCCCTCCCCAACTGAATGTTATTCTCTTTTTGTTCCACTAAGTCAAAATACAAATCAGCACATATACTGTTTCCAATATTTTAAATGTCATGTTAGTTATGAAAAAAAAGTATTTTACTTAAGGTTGTGTATGTATTATGTATATACCTCA